TCTACAACTGGATTCTCATCTGAATCTTAAGGGGGATGCTTCCAGATATGCTCCTACACATCGCTGTTAGGTTGCTTTAGCGGGATAATTTTTTATCATATGCGATGTTCTCGTCTTTACGGCGTCGAAGACGGTCCAAGAGTCCCCCAAGACCGCCCCGCGACGGCCCAAGAGACTCAAGAGGCGCCCAAGACTGGCGAAGAGGGCGCCAAGACGGCCCAAGAGGCTCCCAAGAAGGCCCACGAGGGCCCCAAGAGGGGCCCAAGAGGGAGAGCCCGAATCGAAGATCGGAGCATCCCGCCCAAAGACGGCCCTAGGAGGCCCCAGGAGGCGCCCAGAAGGTCCCACGAGGCCCCCGAGAGACCCCCAAGACGCCCCAAGAGGCCCAACAGAGGCCAACAGAGGCCCCAAGAGGACCCAAAACGGCCCGCGAGAAGCCTCCCAAGAGAGCCAAACGAACTTTCACTTCGTCTCATTCTCAATACCCCGGCACGGTGGCGGGATGGACCGAAGGTCACTAGATCCGCCGCCCCCTGCTTGCAGGGGTGCACGGCGTGCTGGATGAGCTGTCAGGTTTTGGTTTTGGTTCTTTTTCCAAAAGAACTCCCCAGTGGGCTTCGGCCCGTCCCGCCGGGGTCCCGGGAGGAAGCCGAAAGGACCTCAATCCGGAACAAAAATCCTCCAAGACGGCTCAAGATGGCTTCTAAGATGGCCACGTTGGCCCAAGATGGTCTCCAAGATGGTCCAAGATGGCCTCCAAGTCCGCCCAAGATGGTCCAAGACGGCCTCCAAGACGGCCCAAGATGTACCCAAGAGGGCCTAAGATATCCTCAAGATGGCCCAAGACGGTCCAAGAGACCCCAAAGAGGCCTCCAAGACAGCCCAAGAGGCCTTCAAGAGGTCCTCTAGGAGGGCCCGAAGAGCCCAAAATCATTGATTTTCCTTAGGTTTTTGAAGGATTTTGGCATTTGCGCCGTTTCGGCTTTCCGACGGCCCAAGACGGCCCAAGAGGCCCCCAAGATCGCCTCAAGATCGCCCAAGAGGCCTCCAAGAAGGCCCTATGACGGCCCAAGGGCCCCCCAAGACGGCCCCAAGAGCGCCCCAAGACGGCCCAAGAGGCCTCCAAGACGCCCAACATGGCCTCCAAGACGGCCCTGAAGCGCCCCAAGAGGGCCCCAAGACGGCCCAGAGAGGCCCCCAAGACGGCTCCAGACGGCGTCAGACGGACCAGGAACGCCCTAAGACGGCCAAAGAGACCCCCAGGAAGCCCCCAAAGGCCCCCAAGAGGCCCAAGGAGGCCCCCAAGATGCCTCCAAGAGGCCTCGAAGAGGCCCCCAAGAAGCCCCCAACAGACCCCAAGGGTGCCCCAAGAGACTCCTAACAACCCTCATCCTCCTACTCTATTTCTTCCTCTTCCTCTTCCTGTTCATAATCATTCTCTCCCATGTGTTCCCCGAAAGCTTTCCAAACCGACTCGGGGAACTCATGGTCCGATAGCTTGGCCAAGCTCTAGTCCAACTTTCGGCCACATCGGCGTTTCCAAAAAGGCAGGGGGCGGCGGTGATTCGCCGTAGGCGTCTTCGATACTCCATCTCCTTATCCCGAATTCGGGCTACACAGCCCCAAGACAGCTCAAGAGGGCCCGAAAACGGCTCCAGAGGGATCCAAGAGGGCTTAATGTGACAGGCCTCTTGGACCGTTTTCAAACTATAATGGGCCGGCATGGAGCATCTTGGAAGGGCTGGAGACGGCCAGAGGCATCCTGGGCATTCCTGGGAGGGGTGAGGGATCTAGTCCGTTTAACCGGATCCCCCCCCTGCAAGCCAGCCGGACCGAGTGCCCGAGTAATTCGACAATGGGTACCGCCACCCTGTTCGCACAAGCGTTCCAGTTTTGACGTCCCCGTGTGATGCCACACCTGCAGCGAAGGTTGTTCGATCATTCGCTTCCCGTTCTTGTCAGGTCAGGTTTGTGGGTCCCTGGGCCCCTTTCTCGGCAAGGGCTCCCTCGAGGGCGCGAAGTTATTCGCGCTTCGCGGTCCTCGTTCCTTCTCCCCCTCCTCCTCGTCCTCCTATTCTCCTTCTGGGAGGGCGGCGCGAGAGCGCGAAGTTATTCGCGCTTCGCGCAGCGCGAAGCGCGAAGTTGGGGGCCCCTTGCTCGGGGCCCACCCCGGGTGGTGTTCCCGATGCCGCGCCCGGGCGCGGCGACGGGAGCCTCCAGCGAGGAGCCCGAGGGTGAGGAAGGACGGGTACCAAGGGCTCCCTCGAGGGCGCGAAGTTATTCGCGCTTCGCGGTCCTCGTTCCTTCTCCCCCTCCTCCTCGTCCTCCTATTCTCCCTTCTGGGAGGGCGGCGCGAGAGCGCGAAGTTATTCGCGCTTCGCGCAGCGCGAAGCGCGAAGTTGGGAGCCCTAGGGAAGGACAGGTACGGCCGGACCGAGGTATCGGATCGAGGTCGGTTCGGGGAGGGCGCCCTGATGCTTCCCGTGCTCGTGGGATGTTTTTGTGCGTCCTGGGGGGTGGGGCCCTCGAGTGTGTTCAGTTTGGGCCAGCGGACGGTCTCATGTTCTTGGAAGAAGTTCTTCTGTCCCAGGCTGGAATGTAGGCACGGACGCAAATCAATATGGCTTGTCTTGACCATGCCGGGTGTTGCTAGAAGTGCCCTTGGACCAGGTTACCCTCAGGATTTCCACCGAGGCCCCGACAGCCTCCAGGGCACCCCTCACGAGGTCCAGAGGGCCCCAGGGGGCTCCAGAATTGAGCGAAAAGCTGGGGGCACCCTGGGCCAGGGGCACCTTGAGCAACCCCTGGATAATTATGGAACGCGGGGGATTCAACCAGGAAATGCAGGATCCAGGAGGTGTGGGACCACATGGGAGAGCTCCTGGGACGCGTGCCGAGTGCTTCCTGCTTCCCCTGGGCCCCTCTGGAGCGCCTCCGGCGAGGCGCCCAGGAGAGGCCTCCGAGCGGCGAGGGCGCGCCGACCCCGCCGCCCTCGTCGGGCCCTCGGCGCGGCGCCCGAGCCGTGGCCCGCCGCCGCATCCGAGAGGCCCCCAGGGCGCCCCCGTGGCAGGACGCCATCCACGGGCGGGAGGGCGCCGGCCACACGCCCCGATGGCCCAGTTCGGCTCGGTCGGCCCGATGCGATGGCGGCTCCGGCCGGCCCCGGGTCGAGTCGGTTCCGATGTTCGGGCGGACCTGGCCGGATGCGGGGCGCTGCCGTGCATCCTGGCGCCGCCGATGCGATCCGGTTCCGGCTCCGTGCCGGTGCGGTCCGATCCGATGCACGTGTTGAGTCGGGCTTGTCCCTCGACAGGAGGACTATTCGAAAATAGTGAAAAATTAGTCTGGGATTATTTTTGCGATATTTTTGTACATTTTTGGAATCTTGTTCATTTCTCGTCAAAAGTCCCCCTGTAGGGGGACATGCCCGACCTAATGCACGTGTCGATTCTCGATCCGATTTGCCGATTTGATGCTAACTTAACCTGTACACCTGCACCCAAACATTCAGGAGGGGAAACGACATACAGACACAATGAATCGTCCACTGCCAGGAAAATATTGGAAAATATGGGAAGTGTGGGGGAAGACAAAAAACCCAGAAGATATACGGAAATATTGGGAATCATTTTATTTGTGTGTATTTATTTGCGTGTCCCAGGGCCCCTTCAAACATGCTCGCGTCGCGAAAAAGTTACGGCGCGAGGTCTTTGGACGCGTCGGTTCTTGCTGATGTTTTGCGCCTCCAGGTGGCTTCTAGTCGCGTCGCAACGGCTGGATCCTTCTAGAAATCGTGGCCCAAACGCACCCGGGGTCGATTTTTGGTCCCCCCAGACACTGACGTGCTCGCGCCGCGGAAGTATCACGGCGAGAGATGTTGCGCCACGTTCGGCGTCCGGCCCAGGGCCGTCAGCAGACGGGTCGGGATGAAAACCCGGCTTGAGGAAGAGCTTAGTTCTTTTGGGGCCATCGCTTGGCTTGCGAGAAGATCAAGGCATCGCGTTCGTGGGGCTGTGCACCTGCACCGAGCCGGACCAGGCCGAGCCTGGGCCCAGGCTTCGTGCATGCGTGCGCTCCCGCCCACTGCCATTAAGTCGGGCCTGTCTCTCTACAGGGGGAGTATTCAAGAATAGTTTTAAAAAAGTCTGGGGACTATTTTTTTGTATTTCCGGGTATGTTTTGAGCACTTTCTGAATATTTGTAGAATTTGTTTTACACCTCACCACCTAGCCCTAAAATTGCATCAAGCCTGTCCCTCTACAGAACAAATATTCAAAAATAATCCAAAATAGTCTTGAGACTATTTTTTGAATATCATGTTGGAGCATTTTTGGCGTATTTTTTATTTTTCGTCGAAGATCCCTCTGTAGGGGGACACGCCCGACTTAAGACCAATGTGGGTACACAGGTGGCGCCCTCCCAGCGGGAGGAGAGCCCGCACCTCGCCGCCTGGCCCTGGAGGCCCTCCTGCAGCAGGCGACGAACGGTAGACGGCGTGGGTGTTGGCCGCCATCGGGGGCCGTTGTCCCCGACAGCGGCTGCGAAGGCTGCGCTCCTGCAGTGGCAGGCGGACGTACGAGCTTGTCAACCGCGCTGGGACAAGGCGTCCTGGGTCGCAGGAGCTCAGACAGGCGACGCCTGGTCTTTTCTCCCACAGGGCCCGCAGAAGCCCAAACCCTCTCTCCAGGGCCAGCACTTAATCCCGAGTCATCTCTTTCGGCGGCCCCAGGCCCCGGCGCCAGCAAAGAGGAGGAGGAGGAGGAGATGGAGGAGGAGGTGGAGGAGGAGAAGGAGGAGGAGGAGGAGGAAGATCGAGGAGGAGGAGGAAGATCGAGGAGGAGGGAGGAGGGAGGAGGAGGAGGAGGGGGAGGAGGAGGAGGAGGAGGAGGAGGAGGAGGAGGAGGAGGAGGAGGGGGAAGATCGAGGCTCGAGCATCGAGGATCGCTCTTGGCACCTCCAGCCGCGCCCGCGCCTCCAGCGCGCCCCGCGCCCGCGGCCAGGCGCGCGGCGCGCCCAGCGCCGCGCCGGTGTCCAGGCCTGCGCTGGCGCGGCTGCGGCGCGAACTCGCAGAGGCGCGCCGCCCGGCCTCGCCTTAAGTCGGGCCTGTCCCCCTACAGGGGGTTTTTCGACGAAAAGCAAAAAAACAAAAAAAAACAAAAACACTCAAACGGTAAAACAAGAATTCAAAAAATAGTCCCCATACTATTTTTGGATTATTGTTTTGAACATTTTGGGGGTTATTGTATTTTGCCCGACATGAGCCTCGCCGTCGGCGCGCCGGCGTCGCCCGGCGCCCCGCCTTCGCCGTCGTTTCTCGTCGTCGGCGGGAGGCCAGGAGGTGGGGGGGGGGGGAAGTGGAGGGAAGCGGGGGAGGGGCGCAGGGAGGGAGGCCCAGAGGAGGGCGGGGAGCCCAGGCAGGACGGGGGAGGAGGGACGGGGGCCCTCTCTTCGATGCACCCATCGTCCCCAGACCTCCTCTGGCTGCCCCAAAAACTTGCGGCGGAGGGTCATTCTTGGCCTCTGAGGGGGCCCTCCCCGGGCCTCGGGACCGTCCAGAACGACTCGCAGGATGAAAAATTCGGTTCCGGGGAATGGGAGCAGACCTCTGGGGTTAAGTCGGGCCTGTCCCCCTACAGGGGGATTGTCGATGAAGAATAAAAAATACACCAAACAAAATGAAAATAAAATCCAAACATAGTCTGGGGATAATTTTTGGAGTATGTTTTTTCGACTTAAGAGCAGACCTCTGGGGGTCGACGTTGCGAAAAAATCACTACGTCGGAGTTCTGGGTCCGTCGTCTCCACCTGTCGTCGCCGTCTTCGGCGTCCTCGACGTGTTGCTGGTGGTTGTCGTCGGCGTCGCCCGTCGTCGTCGCCGGCGCGCGCCGGCGTCGCCGGTCGTCCGTCGCCGCCGCCGCCTTTCCAACCCCTCCCTAACGGTGAAGAAGGGGGTTGGAAGTGGGAGCGCTCGGACGCCCTAAAGGGCTAGTGGGAGTCATCATCACCTACGCCCAGAGGGCTCGTGATTTTCGCCTCGTCTGCCCTGTCGGTCTGCTCTTGGGCCCTTCCAAGTGGACCGCGGCCTGCAATCATCGTCTCCTGGTGCCGCACACTACGCGTTACCTCTACGCAGGTACGCGCGAGACCAGGCTTGAATGCAGTCCGCGCATCAGGCGTGCCCCGTGACCATGTTCCCAGTGGCCTTACCTGTCACACGCGCTGCATGGGGTTGATCGACGGCCTCCAGGCCCGCCACCTCACGCCACACTGAACGGACGGCACGGGGCCCGAAGGGACCCCGTACGTGGTGCGGTGCATGGGCGCCGCCGTTCTCGTACCTCGTACCGGGAGCCCCCTCTGGTGCATTCGAAGTCTGAGCTGCAGGAGGTTCACATGTCATCCTTCCTCCTCGATCCTCCGCCTCGATCCTCCGCCTCGATCCTCCTCGATCCTCCTCGACCTTCCTCGATCCTCGGCCGTCGAAACTGGCGCCGTGAGCCTGGCGGGCTGGCCTCCCCGGAGGTCTGCGTGGGCCCCTTGGGGCCTCCCGAGGCGTCTGAGGTTCCTCGTCGACGATCCTCATCCTCCTAGGTCCTTCTCTTCTTCGATCCTCCTCATCCTTGATCCCGGATCCTCCTCCTCGCTCCTCCTCCGATTCGAGCTTCGAGCCTCCTCTTCTTCGTTCCTCCTCGATCCTCGATCCTCCTCCTCGACCCTACTGGACCCTCCTCATCGATCCTCAATCACTCTCCTCGACCCTCCTCGAGCTTCCACGACCCTCGACGATCCTGCTGGACCCTCGATCGGCCTCCTCGATCCTCCTCGACCCTCCTGCTTGACGCTCTTCCTCGCCCCCGAGGGTTTGGTTTTTGCGGCTCTGCGTGGCCCGTCGACGGTTACCGCCAAGAGCTGGGAGTGTCTGCGGCCCTTCAGCGGAGGCCTCCAGCCAAAGGCCACCTCCAGCAGGCACGGCCGGCTCTGCTGATCTGACTACATACGTCAGGGTCCCCGATGCCCGAATGCCTGGGCCCTCTGGGGGGCAGGGCTGGCGCGACGCAGCCGTCGAAGCCGCCCACGCGTGTGTCGGCCGAGGGTCCGCCTGGCCGCTGGCCCTCGCTCGGCCGCTGGGTGTCAGCTGGTGGCCGTCCGCCGCCGCGCGCGGCCGCGGGCCGCGATGCCGCGGAGGTGCGCAGGGCGGGGAACCCGCAGATCGCGGTCAGCCCCTCCGAGGACAGTGCGTCGTCGTGGGCGCCGTGGCCGCCGCCGCCGCCGGTGGCCGCCGCCGTTTGTCGACGTGCGTGGCCGGCGGCGGCGGCGGCGCCGTCGCGGTGGCCATGCGTGGCCGCGACGCCTTTGACGTCGTGGGCGTCGACGTCGACGTCGGTGGTGCCGCTGGCGTCGACGTCGTGGTCGTCATGGTGGTGGTCGTCGTCGTCGCCATCGCATTCGCGGGGTACAGTCGTCGTGGTCGTGGTCGTGGTCACCGGCGTCACTGCTGCCACCGTCGTCGTCGTTGCCGTCGTCGGGTGAGGAGGGGGAACAAATGGGAAAAGGCTGCAAGACGAGGAGGGGGGAGGGGGAGTGTAAAGTGGAGGAGGGAGAGAGAGCGCGAGGAGGAAGAAGGGAAAAGAATCAGACGGAATGGGAGAAGGGGGAGATGAGGAGGAGGAGGAGGAGGAGGAGGAGGAGGAGGAGGAGGAGGAGGACCAGTGTGAACCCAAGACTCATCAACGATGTTTGGATACACTTTCCCTTCCACGCTCCCTCTTCATATGCCTCGTTAGCTGACAACCTTTTGAAAATCCTGCAGTTGCCAGAGCACCATCCTCAGGAGTTTGAAGCCACGAATCAACCTGTCTGTTGAGTCTTGGCGATCCTGAATGCCAGAACTCCAGTCCTGGGACTGCAACACCGCGAATCAACGTTTTGGCTGCGCCCTGGCAATCCTGAGCCGTTTGAAAACACCGCTGCTGGAAGGAAAATCACTTGCTTACAACTAGTGTGCGCAGCGATGAGGCGAGAGCCACAGTTTGGAAAGGAGCCACCCTTCACCCGCGGAACTATTTGCGAATCGAGTGTGCGCGGCGCTAAGGCGAGATCCTATTTTTGACAGCGACCCACCTTCAATCCGCGAGGTGTTTACACATGCTTAAAACAAGTGTGCGCTGCGCTAAGGCGAGGGCAACATGTTGAAAACGACCTGTCGTCAATCCATGAAGCTCTGGCGAATATCTAACCGAAAGTGCACGGCGCTGAGGCGCGAACCACATGTCGAACATCACCCACCTAGAATCCGTGAAACTCGAACAATGTTTGAAGAAGGCGCGCGGCGATAAGCCGCGAGCCACAACCTGCCCTCAACCCGTGAAGCTTGCACAAGTGTTGAAAGCGAATGTGCGCAGCGCCAAGACGATAACCACAGGTTGGAAGCGACCTCCCTTCGTTGTTGTAACTGCTGCCAGTTTATAAGTGAGCTTCAGTTTCATCAGTGGTAAGAAAATCTCAGGCGAAACGCGTTGCACGCCCTTCCGACGGACCTTTGGGGGTGCGAGAGGGAAGCGTTATTCCCAAGGACAAAGACTGGAGCAGGAGGGAGAGGAGGACGAGGAGGAGAAGGAAAAGGAGGAAAAGGAACAGGAAGAAAGATAGGGCCATCCCCTTTTTTTCTCCTGTGCCGCCTCCTCTTTGCCCTCGCCGTTTTCCTCCCCCCCGTCCCCGTGCTGGGTGGGCGAGGGGTCGGCGAAAAAGGCCCCCCTGGAGGCCAGAAATTTCTCTCCATGACGAGGGGGCGACGGAGGAGCAAAGTGCAGGCGAGGATGAGCCTCGAGGAGAGGAGGAGGACGACGACGAGGGAGAGGAGGCGGCAGAGGAAAAAGGTCATGTGGGGGATGGACCAGACATCTTTTCCTTCTCTTCCTCCTCCCCGTCTCTTTTCCTTCCTCTCCTTCACTAAGTCTTAGTGTGTTCTTGTTGTTTGCCAATTTTTCTTGTTGTGGGCCCGATGCTGGGCGGCTCAAGCCTGGCTAGGCATCGTGCCCATAGCAGACGCGTTGTAACCTTAGTCGCGTCCGCCGAGAATAAAAATATCTGATTCCCCAACCTTCCTTTTTTTCATAGTTGGTAGCGGAACCCCGGCTCCCTTCCACGATCTGTCGCCGCCATGGCCAGCGCGGCACATCCGCCAGTCTTTTGTTCTTCGCCTCCTGCCCCATCATCTTCTACGTGTTCGGCAAAAGGGCTCTTTTTGCTTTCCGTATTCATCATTGTTTGCGCTCGCTCAGACCAGCGTCGAGGCGGACATGTACCAGAACATGACGTATTCGCGAATTTCAATTAGCGCGGCGCCACCCCGCCGCTGCCTGGTTCTATCCATGGGCGTACTCCAACTGTGTTGCAGTCGCTCTCGGTGCCACAAGCCGGGCTTAGTGCTGAAAACCAGGAGCCACAATCGTTCCCATCAACAGTTCCAGCCCGCAGCCCCGACCTCGCATCTATTTTGAATGGGGGGCCTGGGAAACGCGGGCGGATAAGAGCGCTGATGAGAGGGGGGATCCAGTGGCGTGTCGGTCAACTATGTTGCCATGCCTCCAGGTTGCCAAGCATAGCGACGACACGACGCACGAGTGGCACGATCGCAACAATGTTGCGGGGTGCCCCGAGTGCCGTGGCAGCCGCAACGACTCGACAGAAGACAAGACCCAATGCGGCGACGAAGAGGGACGCATTCGGGGAGGGAGCCCGCGACAGCTCCGAGGCCAACGGTCAGAGCGACGCCGTCCGCGGGCCCTTGGCCTCCAGCACCTCCTCGACCTAAAGTGGGACCCCCTTTCCGGATGGAATGCCAACGGAGTGGGCACGCTTGCCCTGGCCAGCTGCCGCGCCTGCGTGGGCGCACGCGGCGGCGACGGCAGCGCGCGGCGCCTCCGCGCCAAGGGGCCCGAGCAACGATCTCGGGTTCCATTCCGTCGCTGGGCGCAGGAGGTGATGATTTGTCCGCGGCGCACTCGGGCCCCGACGAGTTTCGCCGGGAGGCTTACGCCTCATCTCGCCTTGCCGGCGTGGCCCGAGAACGCGCGGACTAGTGGCCGCCAGTTGCCCCCCCAGCGCCACCGATGACCTTACTCAAGGGCGGACTCAGCAGTTATGACCGTCAGTCGACTGCCGCAGGAGCGCATGGAGAGATTCCCCTCGCGCGTTCTGACACCCTCCGCAACCGTGCCCCGCAAGCTGTTCATCTTCATCGGCCGCGAGGGTCTCAGTTTCCTCTTGCGCGCGGTTGGAGCGTCCAACGCGCGGGCGCCCATGCCCCGGCAGCATTTGCAACGCGACCGACTCGAGCAACGCAGCGCCCCCCGCACACAGACGGGTCAACTGCGCCGCCCTGGGTGCATGATTGTGCGAATTCATGGCAATGTCGCCTCAGCGGTGCATGTAGCCCAACAGCGAACCATCCTCGCGGGCGCGCCCGCGCATGATCAGGCCCAGAGCGTCTATGAGACGACGGCGGGATCGAGCTGGGGTGGCGCGGGTCCGTCAGCACTGGGGGCGACGCCGAGCCCGCCTGCGCGACGTCGACTCAGGCGCCGGCGTCGACGCCGCGAGTTCATTCGGCGCAGGAGAGATTGCCGCTGACGACCCCGAGCTACGCGATATTTTCGTGGACAGCGCGGCGCGCGCCTATAGGCTGGGCTTGCGAGAGCGCCGCGGCGCGGCGGCGACGCCTCATCGACCGCGCGCCCACGCGCCGCGCGCGGAGGGTCCTTGAGAGGAAGGACGGGCCACGGCAAGTGCAGCCGAGCCTTTCTGGTCGACGCGCCCGAAAATGACCCCCGAGAGACTTTCGCGGGCATCGGGGGCGGCGAGGGCGATGCGATAGGGGTGCCCAGGGCCAGCGGCGCGGCTTCGGGTCGCCAGGGCAAACCAGAGGGCCCCGGGGAGGCGCGAGTCACATGCCACGAGCGCGACGCAGAATGACGCATTGTGCGCGACTGCCTTCGGCGCCGCAACCAAGGGTGCGCTCGCTGTCTCGACGCGCGCGCGCCCCGTCGCCGCTGGCGCCCGCGTCGCCGCCCGAACCCGGGGCAGCAAGGGCCGCCGTGCCGCGGGGCAGCAGCCTTTGGCGAGCGCGCGCGCGGCTTGGACTATCAGGGGCGCCGCCAGTCATAGACGGGCTGGGTCTGCAGGCCGAGGCGCGAGTAACCCCGCGCGGGGCGCTGATCCCTGGCGCGGCGGTCGGCCTGCGCCAGCGTCGGCAGCGCCGCGGCCAGCGGCCGCAGCGGCAGCAGCTACCTTGTCAAGTTCGTCGCCCGACGGTTTGCGGCAACAGCTTGGCCGTAGTCCGCGGTCGCGTCGGGCGGGCATGGCGCCGTCGTCGTCATCGCCCACCCCCCGCGACGCCGAGCTACGACTACTGCGACAGGATATGGGCGATCTCATGGTCCGCGCGCATGGGTCTGTTCAGCCGCCAGTTCCGCAACTGCGTTGCAGACCCGCCCGTCAGCGGCGGCGGGAGCGGCGCTGACCGCGCGCGCAGCGCCGACAGCTCCAGCCGCGCCGCCAGCGCAACCAATGGGCACGAGGCGGCAGCGCTTACCCCCTGCAGCGCGACTGGCTGGGCGGCCTCCGCGCGCGCGCGCGCCGCAGCTCCCGCGCCGCCGGCTGCCGAGGCGCAGCTGCCGATCTGGGCCCACATGGCGTCAGTGGCCTCGCTCGGCATCAGCGCGCCGCGGCGGTCGCGGCCCACTTGGCCGCCGCAATCGGCGCCGGCGCCCGCGCCACCACCAGTGTCAGACACTTCTTCTAGTTTGGCTCCTCTCGAGCAGACAGGCCAGCGGGCAAGTGCCAAACATCGGGAAGAGTGACCGCGAAATGCGCTGGCCGCGAGACGGGGACCTCGAGCGGCAATCGGTCCGATCGCAGCGCGCAGCTCGCGCATAACATTGGCGCCAGGTCGCTCCACTGCCCGGCGTGCCGCGGACCAGCCGACGTCATCTCCGACTTCCGCTTCGCTGGGGCAGATCGCGCGCGCGGGTCAGACATTTCCGGCGCCGGCCCGTGGCGGACCAGCAGGAGAGGGCGCCGTTCAAAGGATCAGGTGGCGTGGGACACAGTGGCGTGGTTTACTTCAGTCACGACGCCACCCCGAGCGATGTGGCCACCCCAGCGTCTGCAGGTCAGAAGGGCGCTTATGTTGCCGACTGGCCTGAGGAGCCAATCCACAGGAAATCGCT